TGATAATATTAAGGCCTGCCTGTAAGTAAGAAATTTTATTTGAGATGGTACCACTCAATACATAATTTGATTTTGATGGACTTGTTTATTTTCATTTACAAGAAGTTGATATTATTGTTTAATAGGATTGTAGCATTTGTTGCATACTCAAGTTGGACTGATATAATTCAATATAATGCCTGTCAAATAATATAACTGTTTCAATTTTTTTAAGAGGTTATGGCATTTGAAAAATTATAGATTTTTTTGTAAAGTTTTGCTTTGATGGATCAGATAATTAATTTGTTTAAGAAATAAATTTCAAGATACTTAATGCAGTTATTGTGACATTTAGGAAATATCTATTTATTTTTGATAAGTAAGAACTGCTTTCTTTTTTAATTTTTTGTGCTGAGATTAGTAATGAGGTCTGTTTTGTTTTTGTTGTATTTGATAGAGTTGAGAAATAAAAAAGAACAAAAAGTATTAGTTACAAATTGAAGAGATATTATGTTATGACTTGAAAGAGTTATATCATTCATATATGCAAAATTTTTGTGATTGACTAATGTTCTCTTGTAATTTTAATAATTATAAGATCATAAAAAATTGTTTATGGAAGTGGTGCGAATGTTTTTTATTGGTCAAGATTTTTGCTTACTACTATTGGGTCAGTTAATTTGTAATAGATTATAATTTTAAGTTCTCTATTGTTGAGTAGATCTAGTATGATTGAAATAAGTTTTGATATGAGTTTAATATATTTGAGGGCTTTGTGAAGACTAAACAAATTAACAAAATCAAATGTTTTAAAAGTAATAATAGCAATGAGCTTTGTGATGTTCTGGTTTTTAAGACCTGTAAAGTTGAAATTGGAAAGAATATTATTATTTGTAATAATTTGTAACAATTTATTGTTTAAGATTTTGGTAAAGATTTTTTTACTAATTTCAATTAGAAAAATTGGGCATGTGTCTGTAAGATTATATAACTAGATAATTTTCTTTGAAGAAGTGTGATAGCTAATTGTTTCCAAAATTTGGAAACTGTATTTGAACTTATTATTTTATTGAAAAGTATTTTGATATGGTTTTTGACTAGAGTGCTAAGCAGAGATCAAGTTTTATAGAAATAAGAGTCAATCCTATTTATTAAGTTATTACTATATGATATTAACTATCTTAGATTTTCTAAATCTTAACTCTCTAAATATGATTATGAGAAATAATAGAAATTGTTCCTTCTCAAGACTAAACATCAAAGATTATGTTTAGAAAGATCTTAGTCAGCCTATATTCAAACTATCATTCCAATACAAACCTATGATTCTAAAAGATAAAAAAAAATTATTTTTTAAGAAAATAAAAAGGAATAAAAAGAATAGTTGAAAAGTTTATTTTGATAAATAAAAAATCTTCAATATCAATTTCAGTCCATCAGGATAAATTCTTTATCACTATCTGTAATTGAATAAATTATTTAATTTCTACTATTCTATTATTAATCAAGAATATTCAAGATACTTATAACAAGTCTTATACCTTTAAGAAATTATTACTTGAAACAAAACTTATACTTTAGAAAATTATTACTTGATACTTTTTTAAAATAATCAATAATAGAAGAAGCTTGTTACTAGATTAAGATGAAACTTCTTTTGATCTTGAAATAAAAAGAAACCAGTTCAAGAGAAGAGAAGAAACACTAAAATATATTCTGACAAAACAAATGCCTTGTTATCTTGTTCTTTCTATTATATCCAATAGCATCATTAAATCTATTATTGTATAAGATAAGGCATATGGGAGTTATATGTCTTGTTTACATTTTTTTACATATAAATCAACCAATCCAAATTTTTAGCCAATTATCATTCAGGAGTTCTGGTATAATAAAAAATTCAGAATTAAACTGAGGTAGGCAAAATTCTTCAAAAAAAAGTATACATGCTTGAGAAGATAAAAAAAAAACTTGAAGAAAATAAAAGAAGAGTTCTAAAAGTCTATAGTAATCTTTTCTGAAGTCTTGAATCTCTGGAGAAAAAGAAAAGAATATTTTTCCTACAGGTTCTTTTTTCTAACAAAATATTTTTGTCTTTAATTTTATAGGTAGATTTTTCTTGTATTTACTTGTAAAAATATAAAGAGTTTATATTAAAGAGAAAAAAAAACAAGTAGAGAAAGACTAAAGTCTTTAGATAATGATATTATTAAAGAAAGTATATAGATTTTGTTATAAAAAAATATAAAATTTCTCTGAAATGTCTGTTTTTTGGATTGGTAAAAAAATCAACAGAAAGGGTTTTTTATTATAATTATTTTTTATATTTTTTTGTTTTAAAACATTACCAATATAATTATATAATAAAAATATTATAATTGTTTATTAAAATTAAAATAAAATCATATCAACAAATAAAGAAAAAAAAATTAATGAATTATAAACAAAATCTTATATTAAAAAAATATTTTCAATTTTAATTTCTTTATCAATTTGAGATATCTTAATTAAATATCTTAATTATAGTTGACTTTTGTCAAAAAAAAATTCAAACTATTATCTTTGTTATACTTTTTATTGTAATAGAATAATTAAATTTTATTATATTATTTATTTATTATTATTATTTTGTTTTAGCAATTCTCAAGTAGTGATACAAATAGAATTTATATAGTGCTATATAAGTTATTAATGTTCTATTTTGATGTTATAAAAAGTAAAATAGTTATTACTTAAGCATATCAAAAAAAGCAAAGTATGTTATTATTCTTAAGTAGAATATAAGTGATATAATTATAATCTAATTAAATTATAATTATATTACAATTTTTTAAAAAAATTAATTATAATAATATATACAATATAGTATAAATACAGTAAATTATTAATTGATATATTTTGACTCGTGTATAAAAATATAACTTTTAAGAAAAAAAATCAAATGTTTGATGATATTTAATAGATTAATAAAAAACAATAAATAAATGACTCTATTTTTTATCATATAAAATGATTCCAAACATACTATTAATTTGATCACTACAATTTAAGTTATCAATTTTTTTCTTCAAATTAATATTTGTTTTTAAATTTATTTTTGAATAGTTTTGTAGCAAACATTGATATTAAATCGTTCAAACATAGCATTTATGGTATTTCGGAATTTTTTAATACTTCAGAATAATCAGATCTTTTTATTATATTTCAGATTATATTTTGAATAGTTGAACATGTATAGGAGGGCTAAAAAAATTCTAGACATTTGTTTTTATAATAAATAATTATGTTTAAATGGATTTCATAATCCCAATCATGTTTTTTATTTAAAGAATCCGATAATAAATGTTTTAAATATATGATCTGAATCCGGAATTGTACGAATGCGATTTAATGTTCGAGTTCATAAGTTTTATTACAGTAGTAGGCATGTTTTGGAATTGCCACATCACCTTTGCAGGTGTTTTGCTTAACCCTAACGAGAGCCAGGTCTTTTCCGCACTTGCATTATGTGTGGGCATGCACAGAACATGAGGTTTGTTCGGGAATGTAATGGACTTAATTATAGGCGTAAAATAAGAAAATTCTTAGCTATGCACCAATAAAACAATAGCCGTACATCGCACATACTTTAATATTGTTATATCAATACATACAATCTGAATTTTTCAATATCTGATCTACGGCCACGAATAGGGCATTCATTCATTCATTCCCTTCATTTAATGGCATAATTCCAGAAGTACTTAAAGGGCATGTATCGATCTATTTTTAGAAAATGATTCGGACAAGATGTCAGGTGCGCATACACATGTACGTACAGACGCAAAACAAAAGAAGCATCAAACGTTTTGTCGTTATTAATGAATTTCTCGATGGCTTCAAGGAGTAATTCATAAGGTCAAAGAGGTTTTCGATAATATTGGTTTCATGTTTGCGTAAATAAATTGGATAAAAATTCTGGAAACATTTTAGGCTTGAATTGAACTCGCCGGATGTACGAAGATCATCCAATCGTGTTGAAACAGAAAATACGCGAGATAGAAGAAAATGGGCATCATGGTTAATCTAAGAGGTACCAATGTTTTTCAATTCCCTTGGATGCAAAAAAATTCATCCCTGCATAGATTTCTGTGTAGTTACTACATGCGGGGTGCTAAACGTATTTGCGAAAAGGATTGCGTGCGTTCAGACCGAAGTGAGAAATTAGGTACTAATTCCTACGAAAAGGATGAACGCATCATAGGTAATTGGATGAAAGGGAAGTTCCTCTCTTATTCTCCAAAAATGACTTTCTACGGACGAAAATATGCATTCCAAATTGTACTGTGTCATGTAAGCGTACCGAAATGCATACCAGATTGTACAGCACGTATGCACGAGGGAGAAATCTACGTACTGTACGTGCCAAAGGAAAGAGAAAACGTGATTACGTAAAACACACCTTCTTTTTATTAGATAACAGTCAACTTTGGACAGGTAGGTGTGATGAACAATAATAGTGATAGATAGACAAACAAATAATTGTGACAGTAACTTGATCACGGATAATACTAGAAATTTTTATACTGTATAGATGATTTGAAATTTTTTTTAACATATTTCTAACCGAGGGAAAGAAACCAAGATTCATTATATTTACAAGTTTTTCAACATTAAAAATACACCATTAATGTACAATTTACGAGAAAAACCCAATACCGCGCGTGATACAATACAAATCATAAATAACCCTTTCACATTCTAACCTGTGCATTCGAAGGAAGCAAAAACGTGATCACCATCAGGTGGATGCTACCCTCATTTCTATAAGATTTTTAAGGGAAATTTTTTGGAGAAGTCAATCCTCCCGTAAGAAATGAAAATAATAATAATAATAAAGTAAAATAAAATGATGCAGGGACTATCATGAGGATTGCAAAAAAAAAAAAATGGTTTAATGAAAAATCATGAATGAAGCGAGTACACATTAGCCAAAGTCCTATGTTTTATTTTGGTGACTAAAGGTGTATGGAATCAATGAATCAATGCCAGAGTCCGTCTAGTGTGTATTGTGAGACCCTTGGATTCTGGAAGTGATGATGATTTTTATTGGATTCACCAGCTGTGACGGTGTAACGATTATAGCAATTTTGATCTAGCTCAAATTCACTGATGTCATCACCACACCGAGAATGCTTGTTATCGCTGGCAATGTCCACGCCCCGGTGGTGGTATAACATTTCACTATAATCGTCATGATAAGATTGATCGTACCCGTGTTGGTACACCGACGTTCGGTTTCCGTGAGATTGGATTCCGGCGAGAGAACTGCTGACACTCTTCCTGTCGACATTTGATTTCACGCGGGAGGATGATTTCGATCTCAACATTTTGCGTTTGTCAGAAAACGAGTAGCCGGCAAAATGTTGTTGCATGCTCGGCGAGATTTCTTGTTTGGGCATAGATAACTTTGGTGACATTCGAACGAAAGTGTCGTCAAAGTTTTGAAGATCCGTTTCGTGATCGATGGTTGGAATGTACGGAGAACATATTCGCTTATGGTAGACGTCATCCCAATCAACATAATCGAAGTAAGGGTGAGTTTTAATCTCCATGGATCCATTCGGTCCGCAACCGAGGCGGTTTCGATAATCACGTTGTAACAGCTATTTGGGTAACAAGGAACAAAAATGCGTCATTTCGGACGTCACCCATTGCAAAATCATATCATTGGATATCAAAGGAAAATGCGACTTACTCCGTGCAATAAACTCATCGCTTCTTGCAACATCCCATCAGGAAATTCTAATTCATCTTCCAATACCCTTTGATACATTCTATTTTGATCTTCGGCCCAGAAAGGTGTCTGTTGATGGTCATTATTAGTTCGAAGTTCGTCAAATCAATAATTCCTCCAACTCATTCAATCATACTCACAATCCCGGTCATCATCTCGTACATCAAAGTTCCCAAGCTCCACCAGTCCACCGGATAACTGTAATCCTCGGCACGTATTATTTCGGGAGCCTGTAAAAAGTCACAAGTTTCGAACAATCGAAAAATCAATTATCTCCGGAAAGCTGTGATTGAACACATTATTAAGACATTATTAAGTCATACCAAGTATTCGGCGGTTCCACAGAACGTGTTTGTCTTTTGCCAGGATGGCTTGAATTGTTTCGACAGGCCAAAGTCGGTGAGCACGATGTGACCATCTCGGCCGATGAGAATATTTTCTGGCTTAAGGTCGCTACATCAAGAATTCTTCAAATCAGTAATAGAGTCGACGGATGAGAAAATGAATTCCACAAGTTTATCCAAAGAACACTCACCGATAAACGATTCCCAGGCGGTGCAATTCTTCGATTCCCAATATTATCTCGGCGGCATAGAAGAGGCACCTCGCGTCATCAAATTTGTGCCATTTTGCCAACTGGGTGGCGATATCCCCTCCAGGGTAATAGTCCAACACGAGAAACAAATGGTTGTTGTCCTGAAAGGAGTCACGTAGTCTGATTATGAATGGATGAGTGATCGTGGTAACCGCCGCGAGAATGTCACGCTCTGTTTTGGTGTGATCTGTTTCCTGACGATAAATGACCCATTCTTTGGAAATGGCCTTCAGGGCATATAACCTATTGGTGGATTTCTCTCGCGACAAAAATACCTATCACGACAGAGTGCTAGAGTGAGCGAAGAATTTATGGGTTCCCAAGAGAAAAGTGAAAAAACGAGTCTTAAATTTAATTCACCTTGCCCATGCACCCTTTTCCAAGAACCTTCATTAACTCATAATCATCTATAGATGGCTTATGCGGTTTCGAATGAATCCGGCTAGAGGAAGAAGCGCAGACCCTGTTCTCGAGCGTCTGTTTGTTGAGCGCACCGTTTTTCCATCTTATGTAATCCTTCTCAGGCCTAACGCTCAAGAATTCGCGCAAACTAGGAGAATTTTTTAGATTGGAGTCACCAACAACTTTTCGCAAGTAGCTCTCGAGTTTTTCCGCGGTCGACTTACGAAAGAAGAAATGTTTGGTCAAAATAAAAGACTTCCTCCGGTCATCCAACGATGGTAGTGTAGGACGAAATTTCGGGAACTCGATTCGAAGCTGAAGTCATTTGGTCGCGTTAATTTTGAAGGAATGATTAACTCGAGAGGCAGTTGAGGAGAACATTGTGCTTACCTGCTGGTCAAAATCGATGAAATCCGAAATTTGCCTGAATATGCATAGTATTTGATTTTTGTCTTCGATGGTTATCATGAACGTCTTTTGAATCCGAAGACGAATGAAGATATCACATTAGCAAAGTTCAAGGTTGAGGTGATTCACGTGACATATTCATGGTTCAACTTTTTTACTCACCGTTGGGACAAGCGTTTTTTGTTTCTTTGAGGTACTCGAGTTTGAATTTTTATTGTTATTTATGTTTGCGATATTGCTAAAGCTCAAAAATTTCCTGCTTCCTTTTTTTCGAAGGGATGTTGCCGAGCCATTACTCGAGTCGGGATTCTCTAACGAGTCTGGTTGAGGAAGTTGAGTGACTTGCCCCGTCTGCTCTTGCACGGCTACTCGCAAGTTTTCCTGATCATCCAAAGTAAAAGGAAACTCTATTCTACTGTTTCTGCTTGTTATGCTGCTTGGTTTGCCCATAAAGTGAGTTAAAGCGCCAACCACGCTTCCGCGACGACTTGCTCCTGATTTTTGAAATAATCTGCGGGGACGTAAAGTCACCGACCATGGGGTCCCAAATTTGTATATAGATCGTGACATAGTTCTGTTGTTTCTTTGTTGGATATAAGGTTTTCGATGAACCCCTTTGTTTTCTATTTTTTTCTCGTGGAAATCATATAAAGTAGTGACTTGAAATTAACTAACTGTATTTGTTTATAAATATCGGGATTTAAAAGAAAAAAAGAAATTCTTAAAGGCGATACAGGTTTATAGAATCTTGCTAAATGTGGCACTCAGTTTTTGTTTGTTAAGGTGAGATTTATGCTAACGAGGGTTGGATCGGATAAAATTTTTCTTGAAAATAAACAAAAGGATGATTAATTATACAGTATGAAAAACCCCGTGTGATCAAAATAATTAATCGAACGGGAAAATAAAAGGAGGGTGGTTTCTTAATTCTTATGTATTTTTCTTGCAGGAGAAAATAATATAAGTCAGGAGGATAGTCAGGAGGGTGGTGAGGGGGCAATGATTTCTTTTTTTTTTTTTTTTTGATTTTTTTTTTTTTTTCCTTTTTTTTTTCTCTTTTTTGATAAAAAATTAAAAAAAGTAATCCCAGCCAGTGGAAGTAAGAAGACTATTTAAATAAGAATTTTTTTTGGTGTGACTGAAACAAAAGACGTGTGTTTATATTTTTATATTTCTTAGGACAATTATCAATTCCAGTGATACAAACAAAAGTTTACGAGGATGATGGCTCGGAAGTTAACAAAAAAAAAAAAAATTTTTTTTTTTTGGAGATGACGACGACAATGGGAATTTGATAGTAAAATCATATCCCATATATATACGTTTGCTCCACAAATAACTTCTTCAGAGGTGTTATCATGTAAGAATGATAGAAAGAATGATAGAAAGATAGGAATTTCAATTATTGGATTCTACTAAGTATTCTCTATATAAATAACTTATAGGTTTGATGTTAGAAATTCAGATTTCATTGCTTGAATAAGAGGGACGACCAATCAAAGTTCTTAAAACAAATTATTTTTTATTAATCCCAAGAAACAGGAGGAATGCTAAGTAGTAGATGACGGAAAGTCATGCGCCAAAGAAAAATTTGGTCAAAAACAAAAAAAAAAAGGGAATACCGCATTTGTCAGCTTCGGCAAACGTCTCAATGGTGCATAAGTGATGAAACCGTTTTACTATGTATACAACCAACTAAATTGACCGATTATTGATGTCTTAGAAGTGTATACGAATTGAGTAAATTGATTGGTGTGATGGTAACTAGCATATGTGCCTACCTAATGTACCTATCACAGGCATCGTCGTGCAATGGTATATGTAACGTGTTTTTTTTTTTTTTTTTGCCTGTGGGGACCGGTCCTTGGTACATGCCATTTTTGTTGTCTTTTTTGGATTCCACACTTCTTTAGATTAAGGACAATGGACTCGGACGAATGATTAAATAGGTGGATTCCTTTTTTGTCTGAACGCCTTGGAGAGAGTGGCATTCGCGTTTAAACAAACATCGGAAGTTACACGAATATCAAAAAAAAAAAACAATAAGGATAATATAAGAAAAACAGGTTGAAAAGCGTTAAGATTTACTTCTATTATCATTATTTGTTTCTAATTGAGAATTGCTATAAATACATATACCCATGTTCATGCACCGTATCTGATATTGATATCTAAGGATTTGATAATAATAAACAAACACATGGTAATTTGATTGTTGTACATTATTCTCCGACATACAAATTTCATTCTTTTCGGTGACAATACTCTGAATGGATCAAAACTTTGTACCGGGGATCTGCTTAAATTGGACTTTCAATTTGCGTTCAACTCCCAACGGATTTTTCTCTTTTTTCTCGTAGATTTCATATCGTGCGTACGTACGTGTACCACACGGGCGAATCGTTGATGCGCCACCCTTTTGGCATCATACCGATCGTCAAACTTAATTCAATTACACAAATTTAGGCGTGCATAATGTCAATGGATATATTGTTTTCGGAAAACAGACAAGAAATCAACGTTGGGACTAACTATCGCGATCAGTTGATTTGTCTCTACATGCACAAATGAGAGTCCCTAGGTGTGTTTGATAACGTGCGATTTCCTATTAATTGATTATTATTCGATTTGGTCTATGATGGTCACTAGCTAAAAATGAATTCAAGTCTTTTAATGATTCCCTTTGTTAATTACCCATCAGCAACGCCATAGGTGCCGTCCAATCTCATACGCATGTCAGTATGGAGCCGTGCCATTCAGGATCAAACGGAACAAGTGAAATCATCAATTCTGTTGCACCACGGTTAATCAGATTTCATATCGTTAGACACTCATGTTTAAGTTATCGGAGTCACGTTTGTGACGCTCGAATGTTGATAATAGCTGCTGGTGTAAAAGAAAAAATTATCATGCAGAGTCGAGAATCGTTTGTTTATTTAATGTCAACAAATCTTGCTCACGGATCGAAGGAATTTGGTGTTTCCTGTCTGTCGTTATGCATGGATTGGGCATATAGAATGGATAAACATGCTAATAGCATACATACACGGAGAAATGTCGGGAAAGCTTCCGGGTAGTGTGCAACCGTTGATCTTATGCAGGTGTTAAAGAATCTTGGTGTGACAAAAAAGCAGAATGAGCAGTTTAATTCTCGGTTTTTCATTGTCACTACAATTTTGGTGAAACAGGCCCAGGAAATTCGTAGAAAATTCCTGGTAATTTGTCATTTGTCAATTTTCCTTATTATGGTGTCCGCATAAATAATCCCTTTCTTTGTAAATGCCTCGAATCATTTTTTTTGTAAGTTTAAAAGTTTACATTATATCTATTGTTATTCTAATTCGGATTTTATTGAATGTACATAACGGTTTGAAACAAGTTTCTGGTAGCTAGAAATCTACCCGGTTTATTTAACCAATAAAAATTCCGTTTATCCTATGCATTTACTTATAATATCAATATTAATGATGCATTGGGCTAATTTGCGACAAAAAAAAATGCATATGCTTTTCAAAATATGCGTGTTGGATGGTCAAAGAACTGTTGTATACGCATTTTTTTGTTATCCGCCTCTTCCTAGTAACAACAACGTTGTTTGAAAGGGACGATCAACTTTGAATCGATAAGCGTAAGAGAGGCTCTACGAAAACACGGCTATATCTATTTTTATCGATGGGCATGCATTCGGTCATAAAGACCTCACTTCTGATCTTTTAAGTTATAAGACGGAGCAGTTCCTCCCATCCGAGAATCACTTGACAACGTTATGTTGTACCACTAAAAATTCATGTAAGAGAATAACATTCTAATGTTGGGCCTTCTCTTTAGAGCATTTTCTTTCTTATCAATCTCTCCATTGTCTAGCATTTACATCAATCAGCTCGATTTGTTTCCCCTTTTTAATGAGAGCTTGTTAAATCTCCACCTTCATTGTTTATTCCTTGCAAATTTCAACCCGTGTTTTCTCAAAACCACATTTCCTTTTTTCAACTCTACTGTATCACAACGACGCAAGTGGAACGCTTCCCTGCATTTGAACATGCAAAAAGGATGCAGCTTGACATAGAAAGTAATGTGTGGATAAAGGTTTTGCACAGTCATCGCCTAGTTTGACTCTTGATTGTTATACGCGACGAAACCCTTGCATGAATCTTATTAGGAATAATCTATTTTTAAGAATACAAACAATCTTCTATCATCATTATATTGGTGGTACTAATAACTTTATCTGACGAAAATCTGTAAGCAAAATATTTATCACGATGAAATCGATAAATAAATTGTTTCAAAAAAATGTTTCAATTATTATTATTTTAAAGAAAATCAGTTGGTTGACAATTCAATAACAAGTTATTATTTCTTGCAATCCAGTTTATTAAATATATTAAACCTGTTGTTTTTTAAGCAAACAATATATAAAAACTGCATGTTACTATAGATGCACAATTTATTGAATTAAATAAGAGCCATTGATAATTTATGATAAATAAATGTTCTAACCAAATTAGGAATATAATATACTGTATACATATGTATATATATGGCGTATTAGCAAAAAATTATACAGAAATCTATCAAAGTATTATATTAAAAATTGGATGAGTAAACATAGCACATAGAAAATATTATTAAAAATTAATTAATAATAATATTTAAATAATATAAAATTGCTAAACTTTTTATTATTATTCAATTCTAACTTTAAATTACAGATTTGATTGAATTAAAATTAAAATTTTTATAAATTCTTTTTTTTTTATTAACTTCTTTACAATATTTACAATATAGAATCTCATATTATCTTATTAAAAATAAAATAATTACAATTATATGTTTAATAATTTTTTAAAATAAAAATCTATTTTAAAAAATTCAATATATAAATACAAATAATAAAAAATTTAAATAAAAAAATTTAATTTTATATAATCTGTAAGTTAATAATATAGTAAATAATACTTTCAGATTATTATTTTTTAAAACATATAACAAAAACCTATTTTATTAACTTTTAATTTAAAACATTCTATTTTAATTTATAAAACAATTTTGTTAATTGATTCTTAATTATTTATTTATACTACTTTACAATAAAACCAATTGATTAATAATATATTTAATTTCTTATAACTTGTTATTCTTTTAAAAAACTAATATACAGTATCTAGATATTATTAGTATATTTCTGAAAAATATTGTTTATATTTGTTTTGTTTAGGATTATTTGGATAATTTGCTTAATTACTATTTGTATTTATTGACTCTATATTTAATTCTATTGTTTTTTTATACTTATTATTTTTATTTTTATTAAAATATATATTATTTAATACATAAAATTTTATAGTAGTACTTTTAGTATATACTATATCTTAAGTTTATATTAAACTTATTTACATATATTCAACAAGTATTATATATATTTATATTTAGCTTGTCTATATATAATATATTATTAACTTAATACTATATATAATATATAACAAAAATAATTAAATTTATATTTTTTATTATAATTTAATAAATAATTACTTAATTTAAATAAAACTTTAAATATATTGTTTTTAATATCTAATAATAAAAATATTAAAGTTTTATTAATAATTAATTAATATTATATTATAAAATAATAATTAAAAATTAAAAATTAAAAAAAAATTCTTTATTATATCTTTTCTATATAATTATATATACATGTATATTACAAATGAAAAACAATTTTTTTTACTATATTATTATTATTATTTTATATTTTATTTTATTATTATTTAATAAATTCATATATTAAAATAATTTTGATTATTTTTTTTATTAATTTTTTATAAAAATATAAAAATATTAGTTTTTTAAGAAAAAATTTTTTTCAAATTAAAATTTTGTTAAATTTTAATAAATTAATTAAAAAAATTATTAAGTAACTTTATTTTTTATATTTTGAAATATTTAAATTAAAATTTTAATTAATTTGAATAATTGGTTGTAAAATTATAAGCAAAAAAAATAAATTAATTAAAATTTGTTTGATTTTTTTTATTATATATTATATATTTATTATTTAAACTAATAAATTGCCAAACTTTATTTACCATTTTTATAAATATATATAAATCTGTCTTGATTTTTTTCAATACAATTTTATTAAGAGTATTCTAATTATTTGATTATTAATTACTTTATCTTAAATCTTGATTTTTTGTTTTTATAATAATATATAATTTTTATCTCCCATTAAAATTTTTTAATAGTAAAGTCTATTAAAAGTAACATAACAAAATACTTGATTAGTATTTTTTAATATAATTATTAGAAATCCTTTAATAGTATTTTACAGGTTTAAAAATCTATTTTTTATTATTATTTTTGATAATAAGATTGTATTAGTAATAATCCTAATTAATTTTAAAAAATATTTATATTACAATTTTTTTGTAAATTAGTTACTATAATTAAAAGCATTAATTATTATATAGTTAGATCAATAGTTTATAGATTTTTATAAAATTTTTTGGGAAATCAAATTAGTTTTCTAATTTAAATCTGTAACTTGTAATATAGACCTATGGTATTCTAATTATTAAGATATAGATCTATAGATTTTTTTAAATTATTAAATATATATATATATAAACTTTTTTTTGTATATAATATATATATATTTTTTTTAATCCCGCAATCAGGTTGGTGTCGTTTATTTATTTAATCATAAAGAACCATTACAAGTTGAGAACCTATATAAAGTATAAATTTCCTCGACCCAACTCACC